CGCGACTTTTCGACCCAGCTCTTACCGATCGCTGGTTGTGAAAAGCAGGGTCTCAGGAGCGCGTGCAGTCATGTTCATGATCTGCTGCGTTTGCGCAGGTCCACGACGGCTGCAAGCAGACGCTGGGGATGCAGCATCCCTACACGCGTGATCCTTATCGGTTCGTTCGATATGCTGTGGCCACAGAGTTGTCGCCGGGGTGCAGGGAGGAACCTTTTGTGCAACAGCTCGTGAAAGGAGTTCCTAAGTCGCGCATGAGATTATAGAGGAATGGAACGTAGCAGAGCCTTAGTGCCTCGGCTCGGAGAGCCCAGATATCCGCCACAAAGCCCACGTTTTCAATCAAGTCGCAACCATCGCAGGCTGCAGGTGTGCAAATCTGTCGCCCAAGACAATCGAAAGCTGCCGAGCTGCGCACTGCTGTGGGACGTTGTATGCAAGCCTCTGGCGGCAGGCAGTGCCCAACGTGACGCAACACACAAAGCACCGTCGTCCACTTTCCTGATAGCATGTGCAAGCACTGACCAAACGGAATTTCAGGTTGGTGGTCTGTAAGGCCCTTCACAAGATCAGGCGCAAGTGTTCTCGTTATGTTGAATGCGGGGAGCCCGGTCAACTACAAAAGGATCCACGACTACGTTCAGAAGGAAGATGGTTGAGTTATTCGGGATTCGGGAAAGGCGGTACGTATCAGTAACTCGAAGGGTTTCAGGAACAGGTGGCACAGAGACACGCAGTCAGCTAGAGATATGAGATATGGATCGTAGATGGCACGGCCCGTCTTGCCTGAGGCTTGCAAGCATTTCCAATCTGGCGAACATACTCTTCGAAATGGACCGACTTCAAGAGGTGGAAGATGGGCGAATGAAAAGCTGAGTCACTTTGCCTGTATTCTGTTGTGCAGGCAAGGCCTTTGCTAGAGGAGGCACTCGAGAGGCAGTCGGAAATGCTGGGCTCCAGGCCGCTGTAGCTTTGCATCATTGTTCCGTCTTGTAAACTTGGCAATCTGTTTGTTTCTTCTACCCGCCAGGCATTTGGACACATTGCAAACTGCACACAGCTTGGCACTCCTGTTGGAGGAACAGGGGGAGTTTCACAAGGCACGGAAACCTGCCTGAGCAAGGATGCCTTCCAATGGTTTTGAGATTGAGTCAGGAGCAGTTATAGTTAGACCGTCCGTCGCGACGTTGCTTCGATCGCGTGGTATGGTTTTCGGCTTCACTCCGCAGCTCGGATGCGGCAAGCATCAACATGCAAGCCCACGCAAATCCCATGGCTCAGATGTTCGGAGGTGTATTTGACAAGATCTGAATAGGCTTGCTTCCGCTGTAGTTGCTCGTTTAGTAGACAGCACAAGGAAGTCAAGAATTCTTTCTATCTGTTTGAAAGGGCTATTGTTTTGATCTCCCCGCTGGTACAATGGCGCACGGCATGCGTGAATTGCCATGCGGTCTTGTGGCACCTGTCTTTGTGATGGCCCCGATGGTGAAGCAAAGTGAGCGACCTTTCCGGGCAATGGTGCGGTCCCACGGCTGCTCCCTTTGCTACACGGAGATGTTCATGGCTGACGAGTTTGCCGCCTCAGCTGAGTACCGCAGGCGCGCGCTTGGGGACGGAGTTGATGATGCGGATCATCCTCTTTTCCTTCAGTTTGCTGCCAATGATCCGAAAGTGCTTCTACAAGCTGCTCTTGCAGCTCAAGAACTCGGGGCAACTCAGATGCCACACATGACACAACACGTGCACTACTGTTCTGTATCACTGTGTATTGTGTCGCTGACCATGTCGGTGTTTTGTTCGTTTCAGATGTCTGAGCCTCCTGGATGGGCCTTTAAGGCAGATGGTGTCGACCTCAATCTGGGCTGCCCTCAACGGCGAGCTAGAGAGGGCAGATATGGAGCTTGGCTGGCCAACGATGAGCACGAGTGGCCGATGATTGCCGAGATGATTTCCGCCTGCAGCCGATGTTCAGACCTTCGCATTCCGATTTGCTGCAAGATTCGTTTGCAGCATACATTGGCAGGGACCATCAAGTTTGCCAAGCTCTTGCAAGACGCCGGATGTCCACTGCTGGCGATTCACGGACGCAAACTGCTCTGCAGCAAGAGCAAGCACCGTGAAGGAGCCGCCGATCTCGGTGCAATCGCTGCCGTCCGAGACGTTGCTTGTCAGTTGCAAACGGTAACTTACAGGGACTTGTTGTAGGTTTGAGAGCATTCAGATTTCCTGGCCTGGAGCGAGTTTCAGGCACTGAAGATCCCGGTGTTCACGAATGGCAACGTAAGATCTCCGGCTGACATCTTTCAGAATCTTGGCAGTTGCAGAGAGACTTGTCGATTTCATTTCCAAGGTTCAGATCCGCAACCAATCTATGCCTGAATCCGTGCGCCCTGCATCGGCAAAACAGCACCACGGAAACATTAGTCAAGCCGAGCAGGAAAGGAGCAGATTCGGAACACGATGAGAGCCAGAGAGGCATGGAGCTCAACAGAACCCATTATGCAGGACAAGAAAGACAAGAGGAAGGTGCGCAAAGACCAGCCAGAGCTTTGCTTGGCGAAAGTTGTTCTTGCACCGAGGTTTTTGGGTGCTTTTCGCCAAAAAAAGCAAAGAGGCTTCGGCTTAAGCCTGGTTTGGGTTTGTTGCTGCTATGTCGACATGTACAGTGTAGCCGGAAGCACGATGTCTGAACAAACTCTCGAAAACCCTGGCAGTTCCTCAGTGTCAGTCTGGCCCTGTCATCGTACCGAAGTGCGTGCAAGTGGATGCATGTGTCCGGTGCCAGACATGGATCTCATCTCCGAAATACCCAGCCAAGGAACTTGAAGGCAACGCAATGTGAGGGCATCATGTGCGCAGAGCAGCTTCTTAACGATCCAGCCCTTTTCCGTCGAGCCCTCGATTGGCGACCAGGATTTCCGTGTCCGGGACCGTCGTCGGAAATGCTGGTCGACGAGTATCTTGGTCTCTGTTGTGAGTATGGCGCCGAAGACGAGACGGTCTCGTTTTCTGTTTGGGGTGCAACCAACGGCCATGTGATCCGGGAGCATGTTCACAGGACCGGAACACCAAAGCTGTTCAGCACAGACTCTTGTCACTGCCGCATGTTTCTTTTCCTTTCAGAATCAGTATTCGGCGTCTGTGCAGCTGTTCAGGATGCGCTCTCTCAAGGGACCCGACTCTTATTTGTCACTGTCTGGTAAGCTGCTCGACTGCATGTCTGCAAAGTCTATGCAACTCGTAAGCACACGGTGCGATGGTGAAGCTCAAGCTGAGGAAGCGCTGTTTGGAGCAGACAGACGCAGAATGCCAGCAGGTGAAAGAAAAAGGGGTCTGTGGCGTGCTCCGCGACGTGCCCTTCCCTCATTCATCAGTTCGATTGGTTCCTTCTCTTTGGGACGCGCGCTGGAATGCAGGCCGAGCCTTTGTACATACGAGCCTATGAGGGCCAAAAGGCCAGCTGCTGTGTGTCTGTTTCCGACCGTGTGTTCTATGCGACGGTCTCTGCCAGTCCGCGCTCGGTCCGAAGAATCCGACGGTGTTGCAAACCGGGGTAAACCTCGCTGGTCTGAAGCAGGCCTTGAACTTGGCTATCCCGTGTTCCTATCATGGGGCAAGCTCAAAGCTCATTGAAAGGTACTTGGGAAGCTCCAAGAGGCAGAGGACCTCGACAGAGAGGCCTGGGGCCTCACTCACTCTCTCTCTCTCTCTCTCTCTCTCTA